ATGAGGCACTGGACATCCGTCCTCTCTCCAAAGATCTGAGGGAAGGAGTTGCTGAAGGAGGGAGCGGCCTGGATCGCAGGAAAGCTGACCTTCCCTAGAAACGAGGACAGAATGCCTTTCTTTACACACGAGACCAATTCCTGTCTGGCTAGTTAGCCCTGTGAAAGAGATGAACAAAGTAGGCTCTCTCCCCATCAGAAAAGTAATAATCACTAAAGGAAACCTGAAAACTACAGAAAAGTAGAAGAAAAGCTCCACAGTCCAAATCTGTCTCTTTGCCTGTTTTCTCTGTGTGTGCGCATTTCTATGTTGTGATTATACTCCATTTTCCCCCCATGCCTTTCCACTTTGTAGCATTGACCCATGTTGTTAAATATGTTTTACCCTGTAAATAAATGTATCACACGGCGTTTAACTGTCTACCCACTGGGCATTCAGGTCGTTCCTCACCTTTTAATTATTATTAAATTACGATATCTTGGTACATAAAGCTGTTTTCAATAATTTAGGTGTTGCTGCTAATGGCTGTTTGCTTAGATCTGCAGAGTGGGATTTTGGGGTCAAAAGGTGTGGACCCTGGTGTCACCCTGACAAGGGGTGCCATGCCAGTGCACCCAGCCACGGTACTCGGGCGTGCTCAGGTGCACACTGCAGGCAGGCGCAGGAAGCCCGAAGTCAGCCATACCCTTTCCCACTTTCCTCGAAGCCTTAAAACAGAAGACTGAGGTGGGGTGTGGGTACCCTGAAGTACAGCTCCACACAGCCTAGGAAAGTGACCCAGGGCATCACACTAGCACCTTAGGTTTTGAGAAAACCCACCCCTAGGTTTACTATTTAAAGGCACCAACTGCAGATGCTTCCACCTGGGTGACAGCTGGCCGGGGCCACTGCTCCCTCGGATGGGCTGCGGAAGGCGCCTTACCGATGCAGTCACTGTCCGTGAAGCCGAAAATGCCCTTGACTTGGTTGAATGTAACGTGCTTTTGAATCTTCACCACGTTCCTGTAGAAGCCGGGNTGTCCTCCCAGGGGAGATAACTATTATCATTCCAATAGGTCCCAGTCACCTGAGACACTCCCCTAGAGAGAGCTTTACAGATATCATTCCATCTGGCCTCAGTTTTCCGAGACACTAATGGGTCAGAGGCTAATGCAGGGGGGTGGTAACGGAATCGGCTATAATGCAACACTGGGCCAGCCCTTACCTGTCTATCCTAATCCTGGGATCTCTCGGGGAAGCTTAAGAAGCTACTGGTTATAGCAAAATACGGGGGGTGGGAGGGTCTGCAGCCCTAACCAGCAGTGAACTTGGATGAGTCACCTGACCGCTGACCCAAGGTACTGCTCCCAAGACTCAAACATGAAGTGTCTTGTTTTATAAGGAAGGTGAGGGGGTCCTGAGAGGTTACGTGACCTGCCCAAAGTCACAGAGCCAACGCAGCCCCACCGTTTTGTGCCCCGATGGCTTGCACTCTGGCTGGGTGAACACTTCACACATGATCCCTCATTTTCTCCGCACAGTGGCACCTGTGATGTGGGCACAAAGGAGCAAGAAGTCACATCAGTTGCCCAGGGCCACAGCTGCGCCACCCTCTGTGGGTGGCAGCCAGCCAGGTGAGCGGGGCTGGGGGCTCAGCCAGCAGGAACTAAGGCCGGACGAGGAGACACGGACGTGGTCAGGCTGCGCCCTGAGTGTCCCCAGCGTGGGGACCTCAGGGCCTTGTGTCAGATGGTCCCTCTGAGTGTGAGGAGACAGTGATGTAAAAGTCAGGCCAGGCCTGCTCTGTGACAAACTCAGTGTGGCCAGTCACATTCCCCTCCTAAGACAGTTCCCCCACTTGCACAATGAAGATGGCCCCACGTGAACGGGCCCGGCCCAGCTTGGAGCCTGGCTCCCGTCACAGCACAGCACCGCCTGACCCCATGGCCGCCCCCACGTCCACAGAACGGCCTGTGCTTGTGTCCTCCACCGGCTGCTGCAAATAAGATGAGGTGTGACAGCCAGCACTGGGGTCACCAAGTGCTGGCCAGGCAGACGCCGGGAGCCTGCTCAGTGCCACGGGCTCCCAGGGCTGTGCGCCCCACCCCACCTGCAGCCCCAAGTGTGTCCCCTGGGGACTCAAGGGCCATCCACGGAGGCGCCGCAGCTCTCGGCAGCAGGCGCGGCACAGCCCTGGGCCTGAAGCGTGGCCTCTGTCCCACCTCAAACCCCAGACAGCACAGCCACACAGGTGGGACCAGAGGTGGTTTATTTACGCTGATGACTGACATGAGGGAGAGGACTCAGGAGTGGACCCTGCGCCTCCAGGAAGGACAGACGCCTCAACCAGGGGCTCTCCCTGGGGTGTTCTTCCGCTTTCCCAAACTACACAGGGCACCCGATTGAGCGGGCTCCCGCGGACACATCGCTGAGGGCCTTGGGGGCTGCTGCCGCTTGCTGGCCGTGCCCACCCGCCCGGGGACGCGGGTGGGGCACTGCTCCGTGCAGACCTCCACGCCCGTCAAGGGCCGACTCGGCCTGTGGCAGTCAGAGCAAAGCCGCCGCTGGCTTTCCGGGTGGAGTGTGTAGGGTTGTTTGGCGGAAACAAAATATTCGTATGTTAAGGGAAAGGGGGTGACTTCTGGAGTAGAACGCATGCACGGGCTGGAATCTAAACTCCAGTGAGTAACCTGGCAAGTTTCTCCGACAAAAGACAATTTAATAAAAGTGGACAACTTTGGCCAATAATCAGTGTCAAAAGCAGCTTCAGGCTGGAAGAACTCTCAGTCAAATGCGTAGTACAGCGTCTAGCTAGCAATTCTTTTTGTTTTTTTGGGGGGATGGAGTTAGTTTCATAATAATGGCATTTGGATTCCAGATATGCATACATAGACTACAGGTTTTTTACGAGCAGGTTTCAAGAGTACATGTGGAACCGCAGGATGCTTTCAAACGGAAGTCCTGCTGTGGGCCAGGAGAGGCTGGCCAGCGGGCATGGCGCCAAAGGCTCCACGTCCTGGGGCTGCTTCGTGGGAGAGACTCCAGCTGGACGTGCCTGTCTGAGCACGCCCTGCTCCCCAGCACCTAGTCAGCTCACAGGGTGCTGCCCACCAGAGACTGAAGGGATGACAGTAAGGAAGAAACAGTATTGCCAGACGCACAGGGCTTACAGACACCAGTAATTACCATGTGACAGCCTAAGTGAAGCGGGGATTATGCTGGATTATATCTCTATATGCAGATATAATGAGCGTTACTGAAAGTCGTAGGACAGCTTCCGGGGAGTCATGAACTCTTTCACGATCTCGTCCGTGACTTCCTTGCGCCGGGCCTGGTGCTCCGCGATCAAGGGCTGCAGGACCTCGATGAGCGCCATCTTGAGCTCACCTGTGAGCATGGCCCCGCTGGTGTAATCCT